GTGCTATAGTCCACAGATTTTTTGGTGATCCAGAATTCCGACCTCATTTTTGCCAAAATTATACTTGGACGTCCGTTAAGACCTTATCTATGGAGCCAGTTGTCCTTCACGGCCAAAATGGCCCATTTTCAAGGTCAAACGAGCCCTATGGACCTCCGTTAAGACCTTAGTTATGGAGCTAGTTCATCACCACAACCAAAACGGCCTATTTACAAGGTCGGAGCAGGTAAACCCCCTATTTCGCCAATTTTCGTGTGCTATAGTTCACGGGATTTTATGGCGACCCAAAATGCCGACGTTATTTTTGCCAAAAATTTACACGGACCTCCGTTAAGACCTTAGTTATGGAGCCAATTGGTATCCATGGCCAAAATGACCCATTTACAAGGTCAAACTAGCCCCAGAGCAGGTAAACTCCTCATTTTGCTGATTTTCGTGTGCTATAGTTCACAGGATTTTATGGTGACCCAAAATTTTGACGTCATTTCAGCCAAAAATTTAAATGGATCTCCGTTAAGATCTTAACTATGGATCCAGTTGGTCACCACATCCAAAACGGCCTAGTTACAAGGTCAAACGAACCCCGGAGAAGGTAAACCCCCCATTTTGCTAATTTTCGTGTGTTATAGTCCACGAGATTTTATGGTGACCCAGAATTCCGACGTCATTTTTCTAAAATTTTACATGGACCTCTGTTAAGACCTTATTTATGGAGCCAATTTGTCACCACAGCCAAAACGGTCCATTTACAAGGTCAGACGATCCCCGAAGCAGGTAAATCCCCCATTTTACCAATTTTTGTGTGTTATAGTCCACAGGATTTTATGGTGACCCAGAATTCCGACGTCACTTTTGCCAAAAATTTACATGGACCTCCGTTAAGACTTTAGCTAAGGAGCAAGTTGGTCACCACGTCCAAAACGACACATTTACAAGGTCAAACAATCCCCGGAGCAGGTAAACCCTCAATTTTGTCGATTTTCGTGTGCTAGTCCATGGGATTTTTTGGTGACCCAGAATTTCGACGTCATTTTTGCTAAAAATTTACATGGACCTCTGTTACGACCTTAGTTATGGAGCAAGTTGTTCACCACGGCCAAAACGTTCTATTCACTAGGTCAAACGAGCCTCAGAGCAGGTAAACCCCCAATTTTGCCGATTTTCTTATGCTATAGTCCACGGGATTTTTGGGTGTCCCGAAATTTCGACGTCACTTTTGCCAAAAAATTACATTGACCTTTGTTAAGACCTTAGCTATGGAGTCAGTTGGTCACTATGGCCAAAACGGCCCATTTACAAGTTCAAACGATCCCTGGACCAGGAAAATCCCCCATTTTGCCAATTTTTGTGTGCTATAGTCCACGGGATTTTGTGGTGACCCAGAATTCTGACGTTATTTTTGCCAAAAATTTATATGGACCTCCGTTAAGACCTTAGTTATGGAACCAGTTGGTCACCATGGACAAAACAGCCCATTTACAACGTCCAACGAACCCCGGACCAGGTAAACCCCCATTTTGCTGATTTTCATGCGCTATAGTCCACGAGATTTTATGGTGACCCGAAATTTCAACGTCATTTATGCTAAAAAATATAAAATTAACATAAAAAATTCACCAATAAATATAGTAACCTCTAATCTAACAATTTTGTAAATTTTAATTTTTAAAATGTGATGTAAAAAATAATAAACCATAAAAATAAATTAAAAAATGAATGAAGGTCGAAAAAAATGAAAATGCTCGAAAACACGTCTAAATATGTGAAACTAATGATAGAGTACATGTTTGTACAAATAAAAGATATTTCAATATCGTACGAATCGTAAAAGTAATGAAAATTGGTACGAATGAACCACGTGCGGCGAAAACGTTGAGAATAGATTTCCGATGAATATGTTGTTATGCATGAAGGGTTTTTCACACTCTTTTGATATGGGCATCCGCATGTTGTCGAGTAGACCTCGACCAATGTCGCCTCGTGTGACGTCGCACGTCTAACGAGTGCAAGCCACAGACTATGTGGCAAGCGACGTCCTACGTCGACTGAACGATGTGTGCCGGCCACGACGATGTGGCTAGGCCACGTCCGACGTTGGCTAACCGATGTGTGCAGGCCATGTCCGACGTCGACTGACCATTGTGTGCAGGCCACAGATGTGCGGGCAGGCCCCGTCTTACGTCGGTTGACTGATGTGAGTAGGCCAAGGACGATGCGGGCCGGCCACGTCCAATGTCGGCTGACCGATGTGACAAAATAATAAATACTCAATAAATCTTCACAGTCTAATCAACTAGTCAATGCTATAAAAAATAGAGCAAAATTTTTTTGGCCAGAAAATTTAGTCAAAATTTGATCAGAAAAGTAAAATAACATATTTTACATTATGTTATTTTATCTTCTTGGACATTTTTATCCTTTTAACTTTAATATCTTTTAATTAAAAAAATAAAAAAAGATCAATTTATTTTAAAATAAAAATGATATTATAGACTTTTTAAAATTCTGACTAATTTTTCTGGTCAGTTAGCATTATCTAAAAATAAATATTATCCAAATCAATGAACGTGGGGCCCACTCTCTTGCCGACAACCTCCAATTGTTTTCTAAAATTGTATTCCAAAGTAGGAAGTTGAATGGAACATGCATACTTTATAATATTATCATATTTATTCGATGGAACATGTATACTTTATAATACTATCATATTTATTTGTTTGTTATTCCATGTTTGATATCCACCGTTAAGCTTTGTTATTTCAAATTTATACATACGGTATATTGAAAAAAAAAACAATTTTTATTAAAAAAAATTCATATATTGAAAACTTACACAAATTTCAAAATTAAAAGCTCTTCAATAAAAAGATTATCATTTCTTGAAAGTATGTGTACTTTCCTTAACCAAACATTTTTTCTCACCTTGACTTCTTTATTGTTTCATTTTCAATTATGTGTTTAGAATTTCAATCAAAACATATTATAATTTAAGTTTTCAAACTAAGAGCCCGTTTGGATTGACTTAAAAAAAGTAACTTTTTAAAGTGCTGGAACTTATTTTTAAAATAAGTAGTTATGTGTTTGGATAAAAGTGCTGCAGTTGAAAAAAAGTTGTTGATGTGTTTGACAAATAAGTGCTGGTAAACACTTTTTTTTTATCAAAATGTCTGAAATACCCTTTAAGCTGTTAACATGATAAAAAATTGATTAATTTAAGGTTTTTATACTTAAAAAAAAAACTAAAACAAAATTAATTTATGTTTTACATCCATAAGTAATAATATTTTTCTATCATTCACATATTTCTTTACCACCTTATAAGAGGAATATAAATTCATATTTCAGAAATAATAATAATAATAAAATAATAATAAAATAATAATAATAATAATAGTAATAATAATAAAATAAAATAATAATAATAATAATAATAATAAAATAATAAAATAATAATAGTAATAGTAATAGTAATAGTAATAATAATAATAATAATAATAATAATATAATAATAATAATAATAATATTTATAATTATAATAATAATAATTATAAAATAATAATAATAATAAAATAATAATAATAATAATAATAATAGTAATAGTAATAGTAATAATAATAAAATAAAAATAATAATTATAATAATAATAAACATAATAATAATAATAATAATATAATAATAATAATAAAATAATAAAATAATAATAGTAATAGTAATAGTAATAGTAATAATAATAATAATAATATAATAATAATAATATAATAATAATAATAATATTTATAATTATAATAATAATTATTATTATAATAATAATAAACATAATAATAATAATATAATAATAATAATAATAGTAATAGTAATAATAATAATAATAATAATAATAGTAATAGTAATAGTAATAGTAATAGTAATAGTAATAGTAATAATAATAATAATAATAATAATAATAGTAATAGTAATAGTAATAATTATTATTATAATAATAATACACATAATAATAATAATAATAAACATAATAATAATAATAAAAATAATAGTAATAGTAATAATAATAATAATAATAATAATAATAATAATAATAATAATTCAATATGGGCAATTTGGAAATTGTATAAAAGAATTAAGGGCAAAAAGGTAATATACTTGGTCAACATAAAAGAGCTTTTAAGTTTAAAAAAAAAGCTCCCCTCCCCTAGCTTTTAGCTTTTGGCTTAAAATAAGTCATTTTTGACTTAAAATAAGTCACATTGATAATTGTCAAACACTCTAATAAGTCAGAAATTGGCTTTTAAGCCAGTTTGACCAGCTTAAAAGCCCATCCAAACAGGCTCTAAATTTATTAGAAAATTTATACTTAAAACTTACACAACTCATAAAACATATGTTTCCCCCTTTTGATCTATACAACTCAATCAAATTCTCACACCTTGACTGATTTCTCTTACCACCCTGAATTTCAATAAAATACAATTAAAAAGTTAACTATGTAATCAATATTTTGAGAATACGAGCTAAAAAAATTCTAAAATTTGAATTAAAAATATCACACAAAAGCACTTTACGTGTCCAATATCTAAATTAAAACACATCATAATTAGAGTATTGAAACAAAATTTCAATTTCCTTTTTTATCTCTAAAACCTACCCAAAACACAAAATTAAAACTTTATTATAAAAAAAAAAGTATTTTCTGCATTCCTTTTTTTAAGAGTCTATTTTAATTAATTATTTTTCAAAATTTAAGAAAATTGACAACTAAAAAGAAACAATTTCTTGAAAATAGGTGTATTTTTCCTTTTGTTCTTTGCAAACTCAACTAAATTCTCTCACCTTAGACTTCTTTCTTATTTCATTCATTCATCCTCAATAACAATGCGATACAATCAATAAAAATTAAAAATCTCCGTCTATTTCTATAAAAAAATTTTTATTCCAATTCCCAAAGCAAAGAATCCAACTTTTTCCTTTTTTCCCTTTATCTGTTTTTTTTTAATTTATTATTATTTGATTTTCAAGATTACTTTTTTTTTTTTTTTTTTTTTTGTGTGTGTGTGTGTGTGTGTGTTTTTGTATATGATTCTTGAAAATGGGTTCAGAAATTTTCCCTAAAGTGAAAAGTGAAGGTGGGTCATCGGAGAGTGGTGGTTCTGAGAGTGGAGCTGATGAGAGAGGTGGAGAGAATGATGCTTTTGAGTATTTTGGTTGGGTTTATCATTTGGGTGTTAATACAATTGGGCATGAGTATTGTCATCTTCGATTCTTGTATATACGTGGGAAGTATATGGAAATGTATAAGAGAGATCCCCATGAAAATCCTGGCCTGGTAAGTTTTTTTTATGCTTTTGTTTGCTTAAGATTATTGTTCGTAGTAGCTTAGTTGGTTGACTAGATGATGCTTTTGTTGCTTAAGATTATTGTTCTTTTTAGCTCAATTGGTTGGCTAGCTGATGTTTTTTGTTTCTTAAGATTATTGTTGTTAGTAGCTCAATTGGTAGGCTAGCTTAACTTTCACTTTGTTGGGAGGGTTCGATTCCTACCTTATAATGATTTCCCCTTCCCTACCCCATGTTATAAAAAATAATTACTCACTTGGTTTCAATTTATTTGCCTATTTTCCTCTTTGGTTTTTTTATAAAAAAGAATGCTTTTTTTTGTTAAACTCTTCAATTACAACTCTTTACCACCATAAGATTAAAAGATATTTTGGTACTCTGTATATCTTTAATTTTAGATCACAAAATTCAAAAGTCTTTCTTTATTCGTTTTAAAACTTCATGTCAAGTTAAAACAGAACAAATAAATTGAAATGGAGATAGTAAAAAGGTTGTACTTTTGTACCATTTTTTAAATAATGGTGGTGTCCAAGCTAAGCTTGTTTATACCTTGACTAATTTCACGAGGTACTTATTACCTTCCAGCACATTTATTGGGTAACTCTGTTTATTAAAGCTAGGACAGATGGGAAAAATCACGGTTCTCAACTTACTACATTGACCACTAGGCTACACCCTTAGATGCAATTTGTATAGAAATGCTTGCATTAGCAATGCATGTATTAGTTATGCTCGCATTAACTATACATAGATTTTTATGTATTGTTTGGTTTGATGCATTAAAAATAACATGTATTACATAAAAAAAATTATTTACAAAGATACCCTCCATTATTATTATGGTGGAAAAGATGTAAAAAGAGATTTTGAGGGGCAATTGAGTCTTTAATCATGCTAATGCATGCATTAAAACCATTTCATTGCTAATACCTTGAAATTCATGGTATTAACATTACAATCTTAACACACAATAGAGTGTATAACTAATGCAAACATTAGTTATACATAGATTAGAAAAGAGTACCAAACAAGGTACTAATAATACACAAGGCTAATGCATGCATTATTTTTCCTAATACACTCTACCAAATGACCCCAAAGTCCTATGGTCACTAGGAGTGTTCTAGTATTGTTTATAGATTTGTATGTTTGTAGGAAATTTAGAGAACTCTAGTGCTAGAGTCAATATCCAAATTTTTAAATATGTTAGTACAGATAATCTTATTCAACATATTTGTGTGAGTGAGTCCCCGCATAGAACAACATATTATTAAATTTGCTCCCTTTCTTGAAATAATTTGCGTAAACTAGTGGTGTTTCCTGTTTTCCTGTAAATGCTAACTGACAGATCGGTTGTAGAGGAAAGAAAGAGTTAAGAGTGAATAAAAAGTAAGAACCCTTGCAACACAGTTTAGTTAAGTGAGAAAATAAGGAAAATTATTATGGTTTCACATTCTGTCTTAGTCGAGACTAAAGTTTTAGAGCTCTACATCTGTGAGGTCAGAAATACTTGGTAAAACATGAGGAGGTAATAACTGGATTATATGGTATATGCTGACAAAGATCATGTGATATTCCATAGAGTACTAAGCTTAGTTGCGCGGACTCTTCACTTTTGATGCCGCACCCGTCTCGGATTCTTCAAAAATACACTACTTTTGGCGAATCCGACACGCACCCGTTGGCATTTTTGAAGAGTCCGAGCAACATAGGTACTAAGTGCTTGTAGCTCTTTCTAGAGAAACACCCAACAAATTTGTTTACAGTAAAAAAAGGAAGTTGAATTCAGGATTACTAGTTGCAAGAGTTTGTCAGAATAGCTACTTTTTTAAGGCAAAACCTTTATGTTACCTGCTGGATTTCCATTTTCCAGGTAGGTAACCCTTTGTTGATAATCTTTATGCCTTCAAATTTATCTTCTTTCTGTTTCTTTGAATGCCCCTTGCTGGCCATCTTTAGTGGCAACGATTCTAAAGTTTGCGTACTCATCCCATTTTCTCTCATTCATTGTCAAGCTTGTGTCGAATAATTGGTCCATACAATTTAAGTATTTTTAGTGTTTAATCACAATAAAAAAGGAAAAAAGGAGTATTTTAGTATCTGATGTATTTGCTGCAAAGAAGCGAAGGCCTTGATTTATGTTATTACATCCTTGTTGCAGAAACCAATAAGGAGGGGTGTTATAAATCACACACTTATGGTGGAGGAAATAGGTCGCCGAAGAGTTAACCATGGGGTGAGACTCAAAACCATTAACATTATATTGATTTCTCTGACCCTCAACCATAAATTTGACCCTTCTTTTTATTGGAACTTTCAGATAAGTGTTCTTTGCATCCATACCCCAATGACATTTTCTTTTTCTTTTGTCCTTTTTAGGATCTCTATGTGTTGAGGTTTTACAATCGATTGGACGAGTCAAAAAGGGGAGAAGTAAGTGGGACTTCATTCTTTATGCATTGTTAATGAAGCTGATGATGCTTATCTTTCTTTTGTTAATAAAGATTCTTAATACTGTCGTTCAAAATTTGTCTTGCCAACATAAGCTGAATATCTCGGGGATCAGTTGATTCACTGTAATGTAGTTGAAGATAGTATTTCACGGCCCTTTATTATCAGAAGCAGGGAGAGGGACAATGAATGTGTTTTTATCTTCTTTTCCTAACATTTTCCTATTGTTCTGTTCATAGATGACAAATCAATAAAGTTGTCCACTAACGAACATAAAAACACATAAATAGTGACATGCTCTCTGATTCATGATGTCATCAACTAGGTGTATGAATCCATCTCATTTAAATCCAAAATGTTTCCGTCAACTCTTCTATACTAATTCTCTCTCAACTATTAGTTTCCTCATTGTGGAGTTAGCTAGTTTTGCGGGTTATTTTATATTGAGAAGGCTAATACTTGATTAAAATCTATTGCTGGAAGATTGCTTGTGCTTCGCCTGGTGAAGTACGGAAATGGATGGAAGCCTTTGATCGAGCAAAACAACAGGTATGGCATGATGGGTATTTTTGACTTGATTTTCTTTTTCCTTTATTCATGATTTTTGTTAACATGGTTTTCAGATCCAACTTATTCCAAGTAAAATGGTGTTAGCCCATTTCCCCTTGAGACTATAATACTCTCTGCAGTTCTAAAGTATTCTGTGCATAATTGTGATGTTATATTTTATGCAAGAGAAGGCTTGCACTTTTGATCCAGTTTGGCTGATTTGATTTTGAACTTGTTGGACTTGGCGATTTGATCCAATCTTAGACAGAACCAGCTGATATTAACATCTTTGTTGACTTTCACACGCCATATCCCTTGCAAACGGCACATCACTTGAGTTGTTACTTAGCAAAGGCATTAATTTGTTCCACATGAGATTAGGTCAGAGTTTCCAAGTCCTATTAATTGAGGTTATACGTACAAGATAAGAAAATAAAAAGAAGGGGAGTGCAAACAAAAATTATAAGGCACCACAATTTCTTTTTCTAATTTTTGTTCTAGTCAAATTTCATGAGGTAGGTGTCGGTGTCCGAGCTAGCTTGCGCGGACTTCGATTAATTTCACGGGATATATGCTACCTCCCACCAACAGGTACCGGTAACTCTAACCACCAATGCTTAGACATATGAGAAGAAATCACCTAGGAGGGAGGTGTACTTAAGTTCATCTATATATGTGAAATACTGTAATCGACTTTTACTATTGTGGTTTCTGTGATTAAAGGAAAGATGTGATAATGAAGTACGAAAATAGAATGAGGAAAAGTAGTTATTTGTTTCCTGCTTAGGAGTGAATTAGGTTAGAAGACTCTAAATGGATGCTTCTTCTGGCAATTTTCCCAGAAGCATCTGATGCATGAATAGGTTTGATCCCAAATCACCATAAAATCATGCTCATGAAAGAATTTGGCCATGTTACTTTGATTAACTGTTGTTTCTCATACTGGACTATTTTATTGCAGGCAGATTATGATCTTTCAAGAGGTCAAAGTGCAAGAGATAAACTGAAGTTAGAGAGCGAGTATGGTCCAGACTTCTTGATTGAAAAAAAAAAATGCTTCTTCTGAAATTTAATAGGCTGATATCATATTTATTTGGAGTGCCTCGCACATCCCTTCCCCCCCTTCTATTTTCTTCCTTCAGTAAAAGAGGCAACAATCTGGAAACTAGAGAGTGATTAATAGAAGCCTTACTAATTTATGATTTGGCTTACATTGCTCGGATCTTGCAAAAATGCCCATGCATCTGCATCGATTACTTCAAAAAGATACTATTTTGGAGGATCCAACACGGCTGCGGCAACATTTTTGGAGGATCTAAGTAACATAGGATTTGGATAGTGTTTATATCTATGTTACAGTTTTCATCAACTCTTTGACTTGTTGTTTGAGCCCATTGTGATGTTAATTCTTATACAGTTGGTCTTTCCCCTTGCTATCTCTTTAAATAGTTCTGTATCTCATTAAATTAATCTCTCTATCAAAGGATTAACCTTGCTGGACATCGACCTAGAGTACGGCGGTATGCACATGGCTTGAAGCAGCTGATAAGAATAGGACAAGGTGAGGAGGGGGGAAACTATTGATGATACTCTGTGAAAATTATGATTTTGCCTGCACCGATCAATTTTTTATTTTTAAAAAAAAAATGATTTTGCCTCTTCCAGCATAGAATAGCTTCTTCATTCCTTTAACTAGTATTTTTAATTTTGATTTCCTTCCTGTAACAGAAATAGATTCCAAGCAGTATGGATGACGCAAGTGATGTCAAAACAGATAAAAACTTTTATTTCCCTGGATACCGTGTGTGTAACATGCATATTCACACCTCTATGGGTGCATGTGCTGCTTTTCTTTTTGAGAATTGGTAAACATTGTCTTCTTCAGCATACTTAATGCTGGGGACCTTTAGAAAATCAGAAAAGAACAAAAATCATAATACTTACAAGGATCCTAAGAATTCTAAAAGTTGATCAAAAAGTTGATCTAAATCCTCTAATCCTATCTCTTTACACCAAAAATATAGAGATACAATGCAATTCCAATTAACCTTGTGAATGGAATTGGATATATCTTCAAAATTCCTACTATTCCTCTCCTTCCACACTGTCCACCAGATGCAATGTGGAATCAAATTCCACCAGGTCTTCTGTCTCTTGCTACCTCCTCTCCTAATCCAACAACTAAGTAAATCAACTGTATGTTCGGGCATAGTCCATTTCACTTCTAAAAAGTTGAGAAACATGGACCATATTTGTGCTGTGAAAGTACAATGTAAGAATAGGTGACTGTTAGTTTCCCCTGTCTTCCCACATAAAGAGCACCACGGAAGTATGATCTTTCTTTTCTTCCTCAAGATTTCATGTGTCAAGCATGCCTTTCTGATGACCAGCCAAGTAAAGCATTTAACTTTTGTTGGTGCTGCAGTCCTCCAGATATTTTTCCATGAACTCTGGTATCTGCTACTTTGCGAGTTGCACTCCTTTTTATATGCCCTGCCAACTGTGAAGATCCCATCCTTACTGTGTGACCATCTAACAACATTGTCATTATTGGTGCCTGCAAAATCCCCCACTTCCTCCAACAATTTGGCTACTCTCTCTATTTCCCAATCATTTAGAAGTCTTCTGAAATAGAGATTCCAACCTTGTACTGTCCAGCAATCACTGATCATTGCCTCAGAATTGGTGCACAAAATAAATAGATCAGGAAACAGGTCTTTTAGGGGGGTTTGTTTGATCCATACATCCCACCAGAATCTAGTTCTCCTTCCATCCCCCACCTTGATATGTAAATTTGCTTCTAACTTGGGCCATAAGTTTCTAATAGCTCTCCGAACCCCCGCTCCATAAGCATCCGTGCTCATGTTACTACACCTGAATCCATCCTCCCCATATTTACATTTAATCAAATCTTTCCACAAAGCTTGCCTCTCCTCAGTGTATCTCCACAACCATTTCATCAAAAGACTGTTGTTATGCTTCCTCAAATCTCTGATGCCCAAGCCACCTTTATCTTTTCTATGCAAAACTGTCGCCCACTTGACCAAATTGTATCCTTTGTTCTCTTTGCAACCATGCCAAAGGAAATCTCTCCTAAGTTTGTCCAATTTCTTAACCACTATTGCTGGTATAGTGAAAAGAGACATAACATATGTTGGTAGAGAATCTAGAATAGAGTTGTTAAGAATGTGTCTACCACCAAAAGAAATGTATTGATCCTTCCATCTGGCTAGTCTTTATGCTTTTCAATTGTAGATGATTTTTCTTTCCATCCAAATTAAGTATCCTATTGTATTATTTATCTCTTATTTTTGTTGCTTTACAAAATCTTTTATCTTTGACTATTTGTCAAATGTTGATATTGCCATCCACAACACAATTAACCATGTGTCCTTGATGTGTGAATACAAATATTCAAATAACAATAAATTTTCAAAAAATGTCCTTTAATGCATAGGTCCCGAGAAGCTCTTGCGGAAATCCTCAAAATTGGGTGCCAAAAGTGAATCAGATGTGTACTTTGAAGCAGATGTGGTTGAAGCACATGAGTGGAAATGTGTTCGTACCCTTGATGGTATGTCTTTTCATCTTCTTCAATAACAATTATTCACTCCGTTTCAATTTGTTTGTTTGGTTTTGACTCGGCACAGAGTTTAAGAAAGTAAGGAAAAATATTTGAATGAGAATCTTGGGGTCATAAACTAAAAGATATGTAGATTGAACCAAAATGTCATTTGATCTTGTGGTCTTAAACATGTTACGTGAAAAGTTTAAATTAATGAGTTGCCAAAAAAAGGAAAGAGACATTCTTTTTTAAACAGGCTAAAAAGGAGAGTAAGACAAGCTAATCGAAATGGAGGGGAGTAATATTTTTAAAAAGCTATTGGATTAGACAAGGAGAAAAAACAGAATAATGCCAATCAACAACATACCTTGTGAAATCTCACAAGTGGGGTTTGAGGAGGGCTGAATATATGCAGACCTTACCAGTCACCACTACCTCGTGGAGGTAGAGAGTTGTTTCCGAAAGACTAAAATGATGACCATAAAAAAAAGAAAAAGAAAACAAATTTAATGGAGCTTGATATCTGTAATGAAGTAGGTCAGCAAGTTGTTTCTTCTTGTAGCTCTGTAAGTTAATGAATTATAAACAAACAAAGCAGGTGAAAGGAATATTTGCAGATTGATGATACAATTTGGTCCAAATAACTGTTTACACCTGAAGGACAAATAGCCTGAAAGGAAAAGAAAATCAGCTTTGAATGAAATAACATCCTGACCAGAAATCAAACAGGGTATCAACAACCTGCTTAGCAGATAATTGTTTGAGAACCTGGTATAGTTTTCTGTTATTAAGACTACGTACTGCAATGAATCCCCAAATATATTATAATGCAGCAGTCAAATAGAGGAAAGAAAAATGTACAATATATGACCATGCCAAAGAAAGAGATTACTTCTTCTCAGCACAATATATGCTTTAGATTTTCTTCTTCTTGGTTAGTAATATAAAAAGGGAAAGATAAAATGGTTTTAGGATTTCAGTTTGATCTTTTCCTGTTAGATCTTTAATTGAATTTTCGAGTTGGAATAATTTTGTTTAAACTTATCTGCTATGCCTCTAAAATGTGCCTTCTTCAAATGTTGTAACTCATTTTCTGATGTTGTTTCCCACCTTCTTTGTAGTGTAGGTGTTCGGATATTTGAAGATATGGCAAACAAAAAGGTATCTGCCATGTCACTGGATTTACTGTCGTGATTGGAGATTGCAAGTTTATATTGTGTTGGGATGTCTAGACTGCTGTTTATTGGTGCATATTAAGAGATATGATAAATCTTTAAGAGCTTTAACCAAGCTTATGAAAGTCACTCTTTAATTCTTGTCTGATATATGTAATTTTTTGTTTAAGCCATCAAATATGTACATACAAATATATATAACCATGGTGTCCAGGCGAACTTGCGTCCACCTCGACTAATTTCATGGATTACCTACTATGTCCCACCAACACATGTACCGGGTAACTCTAACCACAAAGCTTGAACAAATAGAAGAAATCACGAGTTTTTGCCTCCACTGAGATTTGATCTTTAGACCTCATGGTTCTCCGCCCACTTCATTGACCACTAGGCCATGCCCTTTTGTGCTAAACTAAGAAAAGTATATACCTACATTAAAATAGTCTTAATCTATGCATGACCTTCAGGATTGAAGAAACTGAACCATTAGTATATTTTTTTATGACTTCTCTTTTCTAATTCCTTCGTCACTGATTCTGATTTCTGATTTATATGACATCTTGCTGAGTAGCGAGATTGAGAAAGGGCAGAACTCAGTTTGATAGGATACTTGCTGTATCCCAAGCAAATTTCTTTCTAAAATATAACAACATTAAAGATAGTAGGTAAAAGGAGACTAAGATGAATTTCCAGAAGCTATTGATTTGATATTTTATTTATAAGGTAGCTGCTGATCTAATATCTATGAAATAGAAGGTAGATATAAGCATTCTGTTCTTTTCTTTTGTCATCTATCTCTTCATATTTTTTTTATATTTGGCAAATCTTCAAGGATTCCACGTTGTCTGGGTTTTATTTTATTTATACAGTCAAAAACTTGTCTGACATGCTCCTTTTAAGGTCTTTCATATTATCCTAGGTTTTATTTGTACAATCAAGAACTTGTCTGCCATTTCTTTTCTTCTTTCCTGTAGACTGGTAAAGGAGTTCTTGTCAAGGCTGTTGCTGTTGTCGAAGCTAGTGCAGATACTGTCTTTGACGTGCTTTTGAGTCTTGATCGACATCAAAGATATGAGTATGTTCCTTGAACTATGTGAAAGTTGTGGAATTTTATTGTTCAATTTTGCCTAATAGTTATCTTGCAGGTGGGATACGTTAACAGGGGACGTGGAATTGATAGAATCTTTGGACGGTCACTGTGATGTTGTTTATGGGACACTTGATCTCCGAAAACTTTCTTGGTAAGTTCCAACCATTCATATTCTGCTTCTTAATGGTGCTCTGCGGGGGTATATTTTTTGAGAATTGTGAAAGACCATTTAAAATCTGATTGAAGAGCCTATCACTAACCGATATGAGACAAACTATCAACCAGTCTTCAGAAATATAAGAGTATTCCTCAATCTCATAAAATCAAGTTGGATGAAGTGGCTGACTAGTATTTCCCCTCTATACATGTTGGATATGACTGCTTCTAAGAAGCTAGCTCTGCTGCTAATAGCATCTTTGGCGCACGACTAGTACTAAAGCTAGTTGAGTCAATGAATCAGGTATGGTGCTGTACAATTATTCTTTGGCTATACAAATTTTTAAAGCTTAATGTTAAAGAATGTAACAGTGAGTGGCATATAAAAAGAAGAAAAAGAAAGAAGCAAAGGAATTGGAACAAGTAGATTTAAGAGTCCTTGATAGGAATGGAAGACTGAATGTGTTTCCCATATCAACTTGCCTTAAATTTATTCTAGTGCTCATAACCACCAAGTTACAGTTAAAATCCTCAGTGAAAGAAAAATTGGATAAGATAATGAAAAAAATTTATAAAATTACAGAGGGGGCAGATAAGGATACATCAAGAAATGTTGAGGCTGTATCCAAGATTGAGGAGTTTAGGGATTTGGGGTGGTGAGCAAAATCAACTTAGTGATAGTAGTTTCTTTTTCCATATTTTCTTTCTCTGATAGCGGCCATAAGGGTGGTAAGATTCAAAACATACACCAGGAATTAGGAAACAATCTCTCTATATTCACAAAGGCTGCGTGCACACCACCCTCCGCAGACCCCACTTGTGTGTATGTTGTTGTTAGGAAGAAGAATGGAAAGGGACGCTGAGAAGCAGAAGATAGGATTTGGATATCTAAGTACTGTAGAAACAGAATAAAAGAAATACTAGCATCTATGAGCAGTTGAATTCCAAAGCTAGGTGGTACGGTATGAGGTGAGATTAAGGAGAACACGAATGAGTGATGTGAACGAAAGAAACACTGTTGGTTATGAATCTTCCTTGATATTGTGAAATGTATTGTTTAAGGTGTTTGTACACGCAACATCAAACCTTGTTGTCTTGTCCTGTTTTATGTATCACTTGCCATCTTGATAGGCCTGTAGTGAAATGTTATCATTTTTTCGACCCTTTGATGTGGGTGATCCTTCTCTTTATGTCTGGAGGTCTTTCAAATTTGGTCTCCTCGAGTCTTCTTCTTCTTCTTTTAATACATCAGAGGTTCTCTTTTGCAGGTGGCAGTCTAAAAGAGATTTTGTCTTTTCTCGGAGGTGGTTTCATGGTCAAGACGGAACATATAGTGAGGATCCTGAGCTTTCTCTCTATTAACTTCATCTGTATTATATCCAAAAATCATTCTTCTTTGAGACAGCTTTCTAATAATCTCTGCTTCTTCTTTTGTTTTGTTAATAAGTAAGATCAATATGCCTGAATCAGTTCATTTGCTTACATTTGCTGTCCCTATTATTTTAGAACCTTACACCTCAAAATATTGCAAGTATGGTGTACTTATGCAAATTTTGTAGAAATTATAAGCAGAGAATTTGTGAAGGATTAGAGCTTGCATTGTCCGAGAATCAGACCTTGCCCTTTATACAGTTTGAGTACATTGGCAATACCTGCATATATATAGATCTGATGAGTGTCCTGGCAGGGAGTTCCTCAGGCACTGGATAGTATATATTTGTACTTGTGGTTCTTCCCTTTTGGAAATATTATCTAAAGAAATAGAGTTTTAATAATTGTTAGTAGGATAGAATCTATGTTTTCTCAATACCAGGCATGCATATCATATGCTGTTCAGCTTGTTTGTTTACTTTTTCATTTTAAATTGTTATGCTTTCACTGATAGATACTTTTCAACATTTAATGCAGCAATTTTGCATTTCCCAACGGAATACAAAAAGCGGCCTCCAAAAAGTGGATATCGACGTATAAAAATGATTGGTAAGTAACTCCACTTCATAAAAGATTCAGTACTGGAAGGTTTATCAAAATAAAATATAGTATCTGAAGAGCTCGCTTGTTACTAGTATGGTTAGGATGTAGGCTTGATTCAGGGATTGCTATCACCTCGTCCATGCTATTTTCCTACTCATGTGTTTCTACCTTGAGACGATGGGTAGAATACGAGTTAGTGTCATGGAGTTGATAAATATTTTAGAGATTTCAGTTACCTTACAAACATTAGTTTGATGCCCGAAGTTCTCAAGCACTGGTTCAAGAGACTGAACTTGATCCCTCAGCTTGATAAACTAAAAAAAATTCTTACTTTATATGTCCCAAAACCACATGTCGCTCGAAAGTGAGGGTAGGAGATGAAGTAGGATTTTGATAAAGACCTTAAAGGCTTAAACGAGGTATTTGACATGGCTCAGACTGAAGTTTATTGTGGAAGATAACTGGTCCAGATGCATAAGCCTTTGGAATATGTTTTTGTATATCTGGAAATATTTATAATCTGGGTATTTATCCTAAACATCCCGCCAATCCCAATTCAGTGCAGCTCAGCTAGATTTTTGTCGTCTGGAAATTCATCTCCTTTGAGTAATTAATGATTTCTTTAATCCAGATGGATATGAGATAATTGAGCTTCAAAATGTGTGTTGGATTTCATATAAAAGGTCAAGGATAATCATGGTAACCTAAGAGATCATACTTGTAACACGTGGAAGACAGCAATACTTGTGCCAGGGGGAAACAGGAAACAGCTGACTTTACTTGGATCAGGCATCTCGGGGGTTACTGCAGCAACAGGGTTTATAACCTGTTCTTATACATGTTTTTTAGGTGACTAACATTGCATTAATCACCAGTCAATTAAAAAAAAGCCAACAACCACTGCCAGCTTAATCTGAGAAAATAAACAGACATCCATCTAACCTCCATGAAATAACTAACAGCCTATTGAGGTTTCCACCTAGGTGCTAGAATGGTTACAGCAGCCAAGACTGAATTGAAGTTCTCACACCAAGTGGTGCTCTAACATTTTACAAGAGAAGGCAATATTCCTAGTGATCCTATCCACATCAACATATTTTTGCTAAAAAAAATTCTCTGATTTTTCTCTATCCATATGGCATAGACTGTCTCAGCATAGACCATTTTAAATATTTGAGCTCTATGAGTCTTCCCTTTTGCACTCTTGGTGATCTACTGTTAGATGATGATCCCATATTCTACCAATACCAAACTGTAGATGCATCCATCACAGAATGTTAGCCCATAGCTGCCTGGTGAATTGTTACCAGCCTCAAAAAAAATAGCTGCCTGGTGAATTGACTTTGCACAAACAGATGGTCCCTTGTTTCTTCTTCCATTGACCTGCAGCACACACTGAGGATCTACACTGTAGCCCCATTTGAGCAATCTGTCCTTGGTTAACATTTTTGCTTGTACCTGTAACCACGTTGTAACATGTTACATACCCATTCTTCTGCTTCTCAATATGTGCAACACTACTAACCTCAAGTACAGTCCACTTTTTAATTTTAGATTCATGAGCTGTACCTTTTTCAAATGTTTACCTTGCATGAAGTGCTTCAAAATTTATGTTGGGCCATAATGACACAATTTCGTCTCTTTGTTTGGCTTTCTCAATGTGTCCTAATGTTTGTTTATACAGATCTTCAGCTAGCTATACATCTTCTGTTTATAACTTATCCATATTACTTTGCATTCCTTCCTCCTTGGTTATGTTTTTCTTAAGAAATTATGCTAAATTCTTTCTCAAAAGAAATTATGCTATATTACCTATCAAAATTATTTGTGGTATAGTGAAGCTCTATTGACACTGTTTTACTTATACTTAAAGTTTTCCTTAGTGGTAGATCTGTGAGAATGGTGTCTGCCAAACTTTACTTTCTTATGTAGTATGCTGTCAAAGTGATGATCATGAACCTTAGTTTCTGTAATTGGTTTGTGCATTTATATAGCCGTATATGCTTCTACTTCAAGCTGCTAATTAGATCCTGATGCATGCTGCATGAGTAGCATTGTTCTTGCTACAATTCTTAAGACATTGTTGATATCATGGAAATTTTATGAGTTTGATGTTAGCTTTTCTAGATTTATTGCAACTTATTTAAGATAAGAGATTATTCATTCTTAAGCATTGCTGATTGGTCCTGACTAAACTATGTTGAATTGTAGCTTGTTCTTGGGAGATCAGCAATATAGGCACTTCCTCCTCATTAAAGCCTGCCAGATGCCTTGTGACACTGATTCTGGAGATACGTTCTAAGGCCTGGTTTAAGTGGAAGAATAATGAGTTCTGTAAATTTGAGAGAACACTTCCTTTTGGAATGTTGAGTCAAGTGGCAGGTTGGTCAATTTGATTACCTATGTTTTCTGGAAGCTCATGCCTTGTGTTAGAAAGCCTAAATTCACAATACATTGTATCCTTTTAGTTTCCGGAATTATCCTCCCCTCTACCCATCCCCAGAAAATGGACAAAAGAACCATAACCTTCATCTGTAGGTCGAACATATTCTTTTTGGCATTGATGATGCGGCGTTGTTTTCTTCTGTTCTCTGTTTCTACTTTGCGTGTTGTGTGAAAGTTGAGAGTAATGCCTCTGATTTTGCTCTTACATTATGTAATCGGAGCTTATGTGGTCTGCTGAACTCTGCCTCTTTATTTTCCTTTCTTAAGCAGTGAAAGATTAATTCTCTCTTTCTACCTCACTTTCCGGTTAAGATTTTTTTTCACTAATCAATGTATAGTTTCTTCTTTCCTATACCTGTGAGTTGTTATGTTCTTCCTTGCTTCCTTTATCATTGGCCAGAAATTGTGGACCACTTAAATCACTTGCATTTCCTTTGAATCTGACGGTAGTAGTGAACCAAAAGTTCCTTTGACTCTTGTTCCCTTTAACACTGTATTCTGATTTTCTTCCAACTTTCTCGAAGGTTGTGAGGGGCAGTTATTTACCCTCCCCTTCCTCCATGAACTAACAGTTCCTTTGTGTTTGGCTCCTTCAAATTTACACCTTAACCTGTGTTGATCATCTTCGTGTATTTCCAGAAAGATTTTTCTTCCATTAAAGTCACCATACAATAATTCTGAAGTCAGAATGGCAAGACCATGCAACCTTCTTTATATCACAGCTCATTGCAGTGGTGATTTTTGCCCGTCTTTATGTTTTATTATTTGTGTAGGTTTGAAGGAATATATTGGAGCAAATCCAGCACTTACATTTGAATCATCCACTGTAGTTCAGTCAAAAACATCTGGTGTTTCTATATCAAGCAATGAGCTTGAGGATGCAATGGGGTCAGATGAATTCTATGATGCAATAGGTACCGATTCGTCATCATCAGATGAAGATAGTGGTGATGAAGTATCTAGTAAGCAGGTTTGTTGTTTCTCGTGTTCCTTCATCAAAACCACTGCAATAGTTCCGGAAACTGTCTTGTTCAATTACCTTGCCTTTGAACCCTTTATATGTTTTTTTTAACTCTTTATTTACCTCTGACAGGACAAAAAGGTTAAGCTAAAAAATGTTTCATGGGCCATAGCAAGCTTGGCCTTAAAGAAGACATTGGGTAACTAAATTCATTGCCACCTTGCTTGCTTTGGTATATGTGGAAGCATCTCTGTAGCAGTTCAATTTGTAATCATGTATCTCCATCATCAGTTACTCTAAATACTAAGCAGATCATGAATGATTTACTTGAGATGGTATTTATGAAGAACATTAGTCCTCTTCAAGACCAATTAAAATTAAACACAAGAATTGCTTACTCAAAACAATCTCCAAAATAGGGGACTAACATTGGCAACAGTGCTCTCTGTGAAAAAGAAAGGAAAGATGTGAGCCATCTCTTCTTCCGTTGCAGTTTCACCACCCAACTTTGGAGTGTAATGTTCAGTGTTTTGTTACTTAGTTGAGGAATGCCTAGAACAGCCAAGCACTCCTCCTATGCCAGTATAGGAAAGGTTAAGTAAAGACTTCAACCTTGGTTTGGATCACCATCCCTATGACAATATGGTGGTCCATCTGGAAGGAAAGAGATGGAAGAAACAAACATGGAGCCGTGACAACTGGATAGTTTAGATGTATCTCTTCTATCTGGATCTGTGATTAATGTAAAGTTTAGATGTATCTCTCTATTATCCTTTGGTGCAAAGTAACTGATGTAACTCATAGATGCCAATTGATTTTTTGAGCTCTTTCTTTAAAAAAAAAGAAATTTATTTTTGAGCTCAGTACATAATATGTGATTTGAGGCATAGTTGTTATTGTGGTACTGCACAATATTGGATGTAGCTAATCTCTTGGTGTAATAACATGCACTTATTGCTGAATATCAATAAAACTACCTTTACCTATCAAAAGAACACAAAAGTATTGTTTTATTAACCTAGAAGGTTTGAATGTTTAATGTAGAGGTCTGCAAAGAAAGTAGACACCTTGCATAAATCCCTCTCGCCACTATGTACCATTTTTCTGGAGTAGGGAGTGGGTGGTATGAGGTCACTTTTATGTACATTCAGGTGTAGGGAAATTGTTTACAGTTTTTAGATGATACTGCGTTTTATCCTTTTCCACTTTAAAGTCTCTTAAACAACTTCATTAAAAAATATTGTCTTGCATGCAGCACCAGACACTAGTAAGGAACTAAATCCCGATGTTCCTTCATTAACTCTTGATCCAAGTCAGTTTCATGGTACCATGCGGCATGCGAAGGGTGAGGGTGACTCTGATTGCTGGTCTTCGCCAAGTGGTTCTGGTTTCATGATCAGAGGGAAGACATACTTGAAAGACAGTACGAAGGTAGCTTTTAATTCTTGAATCCAAATATTTGGATCAAGTTTTCACATGTTCCTGAATATTTTTTTCCAGCTTTCTAATTCCTGCTTCTCTTTCGTTAGCTAATTAATCACAAGAGTCACCTATTTAGCAGTTTTGAGTGTAAAGAAAAGAAAAAAGACCTAGGGTATTATTGACTCATAAAAAATTGTGCCTATGGACAATTTGTTTGTTTTTATTTATTGCTGATAACCAAGGCCGTGACATCTTTTAAACTCCTTGCTTACCTCGTAGTTTAGGTCATGCAATTAAGCTGGATAGAAATTAGAATCATAGTAATTGCATCTTTTGTAGGTTACTGGTGGAGATCCTCTGCTCAAGCTTATTGCTGTTGACTGGTTCAAGGTGGATGAATGCATCACAAATATTGCTCTTCATCCTAAGTGTCTTGTTCAGGTAATGAAGAATCACTTAGTACCTGACTGCACTTTGTTTATCCTCTAGAAAAAGATGAAAAGTCGTTTTGTTAGTCAAACTAATAAAGTGAACAAAAGATAATATACTTCACGTCAATGCACTATCTAAATTTTTCTGAATCTTTCTGAGAGGATAATGGATATATTGTTTCTAATTATCTCCTAAACGAAAGATGCAATCAGATAGCTCCTATATGGAGCTAACGCTGAGATAGGTCAGGTCAGATACCTGACCTTTTGAAGCAAACCATTTACGTGATTATTGAAATTATATTTATAGAAAACACTGCCTGTAGACGTGCTTGTCGTCGCTTTTTGTCTCTTGAAAGTCATTGCAAACTTTGTTGTATGATATAGAACTTTGTAAAGTTTTACATATCAATTTAAAGGAAAAGAAACAGAAAAAACATGAAAGTGATAATGCAAGAACTTCACTTTTCTAGCTTTTTATATTTAGTCATGAACTCGTGATTATAAGCATTGCCGTATGCATCCTAAGATTGTTATTACGAGAATAGTCTCTTTCACCACACAAAGTGCCACAATGAAGGGGGGAATGGATCTTAGCTTTTAACTAGTTATGGTGGCTTCTTTTCTGCCGATATTTTACCTCCGAGTTACCCGAGGTATTTTCTACCCTTTCACCAGTTTCTCTCCTTCCAAACTTCTTTCTAATATCATGATCAATGTCAAACTTCTGGAGACCTTTATGGTACGGGAGGAGTTGTCCATAACTGTGTCTCACGGTAATTTTTGTTCAATCAACTTTATGTCTCTGGAATGAGGTGTGGATTGGAGAAGACAGTCTTAGAAACTCCTTTTCACATCTTTACACTTTGAGTACGCAAAGGAATGTCTCTGTATCCCAAGCTTGGAGTCAGCAGGGATGGGACCTTGTTTTTAGAAGAACACTAAATGACTGGGAAATTGGGGAAGTTGCTAACCTATTGGGAGTACTAAACTCACACCCTGCTTTATCTATAAGGCCTGACAAACCTAGATGGAAATTACATAACAAGGGTGTGTTCACAGTGAAATCATGTTACTGGAATCTTAACACAAGGCAGTCAATGGTAGACATTTGGCCTTGGAAGTTAATCTGGAAGACCAAATGTCCCCCAAAGGTAGCTTGTTTTTGTTGGTTGGTTTGTAGAAAGGCTTGTTTAACACATGAGGCCTTACAGAAAAGGGGATGGCAATTTTGTTCAAGATGTGTCATGTGTGAACAGGAAGCAGAAGTCAATGACCATCTATGACCATCTGTTCCTTCATTGTAAGGCAGAGTTGAGCCTATGGAACATGTTTTTGGCTCTGTTGGGAGTTAAATTGGTGATGCCTAGCACAACAAAGGAACTACTAAATAGCTGGAAAGGTATTGGGAATAGAGGAAGAAATGAACACTGATGACTATCCCTGCTTGCATATGGTGGACCCTCTGGAAAGAAAGAAATTTAAGAAGTTTTGAGGGACAAAAGACTAACTTACAAAAGATTAGAATGAATTGTATAAGCCTTTTGTTTTTTTGGTGTAAACAGAATCTTGTAGGGGATATAGTAGATTTAGTTGACTTTATAGGAAACTTGTAAAGTATACCCATGGGTGGGATGTAAGTTTCCAATTCATCATTTTTTGGATGATGAATTTTTTGGTGTGAATACAAAGTTACCCTTCTCTCAAAAAGATTTTAAGTGGTAATGTTAGACATTTCCATTCATCAAGGCAGTGTCAACCCCTATATGAAACATTGAAAATAGTTGCAAGGTCTTAGAAGTTAGAAGACAAAGTGGGGACAATTAGCACATGAAATCACCAAGTACCACTGCAAATAGAACTATATAAATTTCACAGGCAAGAGCAGTTCTCTTTCCACTTGTCAAGTAAAAGCAGAATATATTCATATATATCAGTTTGTCCCCTGAGTGTCGTAGAATCTGGAAATGCTTTTTTTCTGCTAGTGGAATTTGTTCCTCATTATAAGGTAAACAAGATATGATTTAAAGAGCTTCCTTGAATTCAACCCAAAAAACAATGTTTCTAACTGAGCAATGTTCAAGAATTGGTTGCCAGTTTTCTTCAATGAAGCATATTTCTCTATCCAATCTTATTTCCTGATTCTATTAGCTGCTAAGCATATTTGTTGCTAACAATGTTTCCTAACTGCAGTCTGAAGCAGGGAAGAAAACTCCATTCGTCCTAATAATTAACCTTCAGGTACGTCCTTTTGGCTTTTCCCTTGTTATTTTTAAATAGATCAGACTGTTTCACAAAAGACTTGACATGAACACATCGTTAATAACCACTGTGGATCCAAAAGTATGAAGAGAATTTAAGGCTGAAGAGTTAAGAGTTTAAACTGTGTATTATAGCGAAAAGATTCGTCCTAAAACATTCACGTTGATCATTATCTTTGAGATTATCTAGTTGAAAAATACAAATACAGTTTTAAAAGGGAAGGACATCACAAATTTGGGTCTTTAACCTGAAAATGCAATCTTGTTGAATAAAAGTTCATTGTAAGAAATGTCACCGATTCTGTTCTGGCTTGGTTTTCAGGTTCCAGCTAAACCAAATTATAGCCTGGTTCTTTATTATGCCGCTGACAGACCTGTAAATAAGGATTCATTGTTGGGTAAATTCATTGATGGAACTGACTCTTTCCGTGATTCAAGATTCAAATTGATTCCAAGCATTAGAGAGGTATCAATTACTCTGTCAGGAGCAGACTTCTTTCTTTATACACTCTTTGCTAATAGCTTCTGATAACAGGGATACTGGATGGTTAAGCGTGCCGTTGGAACTAAAGCTTGCCTTCTGGGGAAGGCAGTAACGTGCAAGTACCTTCGACAAGATAACTTTCTGGAGGTTGGGTTCCAAATTTGACTTTCTTAGTTTGCATTCTGCATGCTATCACCATGCTACTTTTACTGCCTTTAATGTTGGAATGGTGTGGATTAAGTTGCTGGGTGTCTTTGATATAGAGTTTTCAATTTTTCCATGTTTGGTTGGTCAAATTTTTTTAAATTATTCTCTTGGAAATTAAGGTCCTTTAAAATGAGGAAAATAGGAAACAAGTTTCATCAGTGACATTCCACATTGATTGCCTTCTCCCCACCTTCCAACACATCCCCACACTTCATAGGCCCCCACCCCGATCATCCTCACACCCCTACCCCCATAGTGTTTGCCTAGATTATATATAAATGCTTTTGGAACAATATTTTCTGCTTATTTACCGAACACCAGAAAAGAAATAAGAAAATACTTATTTTCCAGGAAAATTCAGTGGAAAACATACCAAACACACCCTAAGTTGCTAGAGTTCTCTCTGAAAAAGCAAGAAAATATTTCTCTTGTGCTCAGGCATTTATGCTTGCATGGATTTGTCTGAACTCTCAAGTGGCTTTCCTTCAATGCATATGCTTTCTTCACTGACTTTTAATTTTTAATCCTGAAATGGAACTTCATGCATGCAGATTGATGTGGACATCGGCTCTTCATCTGTGGCAAGAGGTGTTATTGGTCTTGTACTGGGCTATGTGACAAGCCTTGTCGTTGATCTTGCTATTCTAGTCGAGGTATGTTGTTCTTCATCTTGTGATCGTGGTCCATCTCAATAGGAGTAAAACTATTCTGGTAGTTTAGAGTGATAACCTTATGAAATGCTAGACCATTTAATTGCTGTTTCTGGCACTTATGAGAAGTTTCTTTCACAAACAAAGAAGAATGGATGCAGATCTATTTTAGCGTCATTTTGCTTGATTAATGTTTTCTGTCTCTCTCAACTATGCACATGACATAGTGATGTTGTTGTTTCCCTCTTTGAGCATTGAAGTTTAAGATACTTAAAACCAGACGTAAAACACAACTATCTAGATATCTATGTTAGGATCTTTGTAATTAGCCTTCCTAGCCCCTCTATGTACGAATTTTTGGAGGTCACCAGCATATCCTTAATGCTGAGGAATACAACATTACTAATTTAAAAAAAAAAAAAACACACACAACTATCTAGATTACCTAATAGAACTAGAGACAAGTTGTGCCTAAACGCAATCATGCTCTATCAAATAAAGAGCAAATGGTAAAAGGAGAAGTTCAAATATTCTGAACTAGCCTCCTACTGACCTCGCCCCCTTTACTTGTACTTTTTCTTGAGTACTAATAAACAAAGTAGGGGTCAACACTGAACCCTCCACTACTAGGGAAGCTGAAAGACTGGGTGGTCAGATTTCTTTAAAATAAATAAAGTGAGTGGTCATGTTCAAAAACGATACATCTCCATGTCAACAAGACAAAAAGTTGTTGACGTCCTGGTTTTAATTCCTTAACAGTTCAGTTGCATTTGCCATTCTGTAATGATTCATGTCACTTGCACATGACCATCGTTGGATACACATTTTGCAGGCAAAAGAAGAGGCTGAACTCCCTGAATACATTCTTGGAACTGTTAGATTAAATCGCGTAAAGGTCGATTCTGCTGTACCATTGGAGGGTTGATGAGTCTTTCGTTAGTAAGTGCCATTAATCGCCTTTGAAATCGAATATAGTTGAGTCATTACTATTATTTTGTATACATTATATCCCCACTTGTCTGGGAATGAGTTATAGTAGTTGTATCATAATGATATACCTAAAACAGCACAGAATCAAAACTTGTAACAAAAGTTGTAACTTGTAACTGAGATGGATGTTGTGTGAATAATAAAAATCTATATATATTTGTGACAGATATAGTGATTGTCCACTCTTCTATATAAATTGAACTTCAATTAAAAATTTCCTCAACATATGTTCACTCAAGATAGTTGGCAAGCATAACATGTTTTGAAGTAGAGGAACAGCTAGCATAATAAAACTAGGGGTGGAGCCATAATGATGGTTAAGGATTCAGCAAAACTTAGTAACTTTGACCAAGTCTTGTATTTGTGTTAAAATATTTATTTAATATGTGAAAATTATCTATCCAGAATCCAGTAAGTAGAAAGAATTGTGTTCCAGAATCTATAAACAAAAAATCCCGACTTTGTCACTGTTTATTATGATTTGTTTGAATGTTGATCAATATAGAGGTTTCGTATAATCGACTTCAATTAGCTTAGTATTGAGACAAAGTTGATGAACACTAGTACATATCAAGCATTTTATAAGTGACTTGATCGAGTCTACAAAACTTTATTTTTTCGGTGGTCGGTCAGAATCTAAGCTAAACAAGTAGCTCACACAAATCCAGGTTGGTTTCTAGTAAAACCCAATCAAGAACAATATTTTAAATGCAAAGTTAGATTTAAGATTAACCAAAAGAGTCATGTTTTAAAGGTGTTTTAATTTTCATACATTCTTTATTATTATTTTCTTTTAAAAGGATGTCACATATTATTATGTGATTGAGTGATCCAAAGGATTTGATACATGTTCCCTTTAATTTTTATCATTCCCCACTTGAAATTGTATGGTCAAAAGAGTAGGTGAAAAGAGGAGAAAAATAATTGGAATAATTTCCCTTTTTGCCTTTGCTGACATCCCTTTATTCACTATCACCTAATGTTTTATATAATCCATTATTTTTATTTGCTTAAATAACCTTTTTATTTATTTAGTTTGATAAGCTAGAAACTGCAAAATATAAATACATTTACTAAATAGATATCACACACCAAAAAAAATAGGGAAAATAAAAAAAATATACCTAGCCTACAAATCAGGGGATGCACTCTCACAATTGAGCCAAACTCCATGCAAACAACAATATATCTAGTGTAATTTTATAAGTAGGCTGTGAGGAGATTAGAGAGTAACATGTACATTGATCTAACCCGTACCTAAAAGAGATAAAGGATATTTTCAATGAACTTTCAGCTTAAATAAAACATACAAAACAATTGAAAATGGGATACAGATGGGAGCAATAACAACACTAAAAAAATACAAAATAACGTGAAATGGAGAGTACTACCCAACAAAAGAAAAGAGAATAATAACAATGCTCAATCACCAACTAATTTTCTACCCTAATCCGCAATCTCCAGACTCTTATATTAGATAATATCTAGGTGTGCAACCCTTTATCTTTTTTACTTAAATAACCATTTAATTTCTTATATTTTTTGTCTGATTGATTGTTTTCTTACTGTTTGGATAGTGGGTTTTTGTTTGTCACTTTGTCCACACATAACATACGTTTATTTTTGCACCCACTAATTTGACAAAATCACAGATTTTAGTGCCCATTTTTACCCCCACCATTTAAATTGAAGGGTCACTCTCAATGCTAGCTAGCTAAAAGCTTCTTTAAATTTGATCTAATTTCCTCAAACTATTAAAAAAAGAAAAAGAAAAGGTGAATGACAACGCCTATTATTATATTTTATATATATAGATTTAAAATATAATCTAATTTTGTACATATGATATACTTTTCAATGAAGAGGGTGAAACCCCAACTTCGCTCATGATTGAGCAAACCTGAAATTTCAGGTTTAGGATAAAAGAATACCATAATTCTTAACTATTATATTTTATTATTTATTTATGTGTTTCTTGGGTCGAGGGTATATCCACTATTAAAATATCACTATATTCTTCGAAAAAATGTTCAGCGATCATTCTCATACAGAATTGATCAGTGGGAAAAGTAAAAAACAGCAATGTTTTCATATAGAAATATTAGGAAATTTTTCACTATTTTAGTTAGAATCTATTTTTCGCTATGTATTTATTTCATTAATTTAGTGATAGAAAGTGAGTGAAAAAATCATATTTTATAGCATAAATTTTCACTGATTCACAATATTAAAAAAACCTTTATTTTCAATAATGATCAAATTTGTTTTTCTATAAATATAATAGTATATATGCATCATTCTTATTAGATCTCTCACTCTGAATATATATTATTTTTGGTATATTTATGGGAATGAATTCAATTTAATTTAATTTCCCTTTTTAGTGTTCCTAAAAAAAAGTGTACTTGCCCAACATCAGCAAAGCCACACGAAGGACTAGGTGAAATTGCATTATCTTTTTTCTATTCCTAGGGAAACTCATTTTGTAGAATTCTTGTCCCCCTTTTTTACCTTATAATATAATAATTCACTGTATGTTTTTTTTGGTTTTGGTTAATGTTAAAGGGATTTTTATAGCATTTCTAGTTTTTTTTAAAAAAACAAGTCTTCTTAGCATGAATCATTTCGAAATCTATGCTTACATTTTACACTTTTGGTAGTTTATTATTTGACCATGAAAATTTAAAAAATTACAAATTTTAAAATTGGAGTTGACAAGTTGTGTTTTGCCATAGTTTTTTCAGTTAATTTAGAATTTAAATATTTTTTTTTATAAAATATAAAATATAAAATATTATTTGAACATGAATTATAATTTAAATGAAGTTATTCTTTGATTAAAAAAAATAAAAAATAAAAACAGTGAAAGAGAAAATAAGGTTTTGGCTGGTTTTCAAATACAAACTTAAAATTGTATTTGGACTTATCAAGGGCAAACAGAAATAATTTTTCAGAAAAAAAGAGAAAATATTCAATTTATTATGAGTGGTAAAATTAGTGTCATATACTATTTCTCTTCAATTTTACTCATCACTTTTGATATATCAAGAAAATATAATGATTATTTTTTATTTTGATTTCAATATTAATTATTTATTTTTTAAATTATTTCTTGAAACGTAAAATTATATATCAATTAAAGTATTATGATAAATATTCATAATAATCATTAGTTTTTAAAAGAGTATGAAATTTAAAATTGATAAGTAAAATATAAATGTTACAGTTCAACTCCTTCATAAAGCAGAGTGCCTTTTTGTTATGCTTTAGCCATCTTTACTTAAAATTTAGATATAATGATTAAAAATATATTTGAATTAATATTTTTTTCAAGTTTTACATATTAACTATTAGCTGTTTCTTTTTGTATCTAAATAATTAATCATTTGGTTATAATATGTGTGATATATTTTGTATTTTTAGAGTTAAATAATTTAAATTTATTCGAAAATTTGTTTATGAAATCTTTAAAAAATTTAAAATGAAATTTATCTATTTGTAAATTACATAAAAATGTACTATTAGTCACAATAATTGACAATCGAAAATATTTAAAAAATATAAGAAAAACTTACGATCAAAGATAAATTTGTTTGAATCTCGAAATTTAAAAATGTGTAACAAAAATTAAGATAAAGAGAATAACATTTATATACCAAAATTATATATCGAATATGTCAATAATGCAATAATAACATATCCCACAAATACAAATAAAATAAGAGCAAGGGAAACCCCGTGAAAAATAATACTTACAAATTCAATAAATACACTGCAGACCAGGTTTAAATTGCATGAATAATAATGACAAATATTTTCACAAATATCGAGTATAAAATGCATGCAATTCAAAAATACAAAAAAATAAATAATATAATTAGAGATTTAAAAAAACTAATGTTGCTTTTGGCTTGTCCTATTATACTATACGTAAATAATTTTGGATTTACTTAAAACCAACTTATGACTAGTATTTTGTCACTCCCAGAAAGTAATTTTGTTTTCTTCTTCTCTTTTTTTTTTCTAGGGAAATGAGAAAAATAATTTAAATTCAAATATTTTCTTGACTTTTACTACTGTATATCAAAACAAAATAACAAATCATTACTTAAATAGCATTGGAATTTGCAAGTTGCGTAATTTCTGGTGGATCACATTTTCTAGAAGGTAAAAAATATTTAAAAATAAAGATATTGTATTCCATCTGTCATAGATTAATTTTTTTGCTTAACTTTATATTAAAATATTTATTAAATTAAAATCCCGCCTGTACTTAAAGAAATTTGGGAAAATATGAAAAATAGCATAGATTCAACTTCAATCTCCCTTGCATGGAAATATAAATTCGATAATAATTATTTATATCGTAACAAACGGTTTTCTTGATTCATTTAAAATTGGACAAAATAATATCGTATTTTCTTCAAAACAACGATGAATAAAGAAAAGTCGATGATGAAGTTAATGATTTTGTTATTAAGTCGGAACAAGTTGATAGTGGTAAAGTCTATGTGTATTTCACCTTTTTCAAACATCACTTATGAAATTTCACTAAATATGTTATTGTTGTTACATGTTCGCTTCGTGTATTATAATTTTTCGACGAATAATGTTCAACCCGTCGGCTACACCATTGATAGTAGGTTATTTATGTAGGGGGTAGGATCAAATGCAAGAGTGATTTAATGTACAAGATCATGAAGGAAGCATGCAATGGTCAACATTAATGCACGTATTATATGGCTAGAGCCAAAGTACAATCTCGAGGCTTTTTTTTTTATTTAACTTATTTACACTCAAATTATAAAATTACTTTTAGTATATTAAATTAATTAATATTTATCAAGAATTTTTCTTATAATTATCCGATAAGTGTAAGAAATCTTAATTAATAGCTTAGTTAGTTGTCTACCGGGTTTAATTGTTCACATTATGATTTTCTACTCCTACACTCAAGTTTTTAGGGTCGGAGCAAATTAGAGGGGAGAAAGGGGGTTCAAATGAACCTCTTCATCAATTTTTTTTTAATGATGAACTGGTTAAAAAATATTATAGAGTATTTTGCATGATGAATTTTATTGATGAAAATAAATTTTATCTCAGCACTAGTTATAAAATATAATGGTCTATTTATGTAATTATCCCTTTTTATGCTATCATTTAA